CTGCCTGAAAAGTAATTAAGACTTCATTGTCACACCTAGGGCTAATTCCTCCAATAAAGGAATCTTGATTCTAGGGAGCTCCTAAGAATCAAAATAGGAATATTTTGCCAATAGGTAGTTCTGAACACCCAAAATAATAAACTAAAAAACCCCCAAACCCAACATGTATATTTAAAGTAACTTATTCATTTTTATGTGTTTCATGAGGAAGAAATATGTATATGGTCAGACTGCATGTATGTTTGGGGAATTCGCTGTGAATACTCTCATAGCTGAAGGATTTGTCCAATTTCGGCCATTTGACAGGTGGAGATTCAAATATTGTGAGATCTGTCTATATTTTGTGAAAAATAAAGAGGTGGTATACATATCCAGATTGGAGAAGAGATGCTGCATGAGCTTGACTATTATGATACACAGAAGATTCCGTATGAGTGTGCATATCCGGACATGTAAACAAATTGATAAACATATGAGATCACAGCCTCCTTTTCTCTTTGTCCGTCCTTTTGCCATTTTCATGCCCTATTTGCAGAAGAATCTTCAGCTGGAGTTTTCACATTCTTGGACCCAGAAAGTATCAGCCTTGAGGTACAAACTGGAAATAAACCTGGCTCTTCTCATTCCGATAATCACAGAACTTGATTTCTTTTGTCTTTCTCTCACCAAGGTTGAGGGAATCCATCCAGAATGCAAGATATTCCAACAGGTGGTGAAAGAGGAAGCTCTCTGCTTAGAAAAGAATGAATCTGTTTCACCTGGTCTTCAAGGTAATGGTCCTGACTGTCAAGCTCTAACGTGAATGCCTCTTGTATTACTTCAGGGGCACGATGTGAAGATACCATTCTTTCTCCTCGATCAAGATTTGATTCCTACTTTTATTTGGTTTCTTTATGACCTGAAGTGCTTATCCTTCTATAGGCTGGGGTTTTACATCATCTGATTTTAGACATCTTTAAAAGCTCAATATCTAAGTCAGGACTTGTCGCCTTAAAATAAATAAAGATGGGTGTCCCTAGAACATGTTTCATAGCCTCCAGTTTAGGTGCTTACTTTAGGATGAGATGAAGCATTCTCTTGAGTCGTTTTTTTCTTTACTAACTACAGAATGAGACTAAGATGATTAGTTTACACCTTGACAAGTTTTGATGCTTAGGGCAGTAAAACCCTACTTGGAATGTCTTACATTGCTAAAATATTCAGTGTGTTCTTTCCTTATACTCAAAACTCCAAAGAAGCTTCCACAGAAAACACTGAAAAGCATTCTGAAATTATATTCTGTTAAGAATCATTCCAATCTGGTGAAAATTATTTTTGCCAATAAATGAAAGAAAAAAAAAATCTGACTTTTTCAAAATATTCTATTTCTACATTTTTGGAGGTTCTTTGTTTCTTTGTTAGTTTGAAAAGATTTGTTGTGGTGGTGTTTTGAAATCTATTATAAGCTCAAATATAAATGTTGTAAAATTAAAATGAACATTTCAGAGAGCCTGTAAAATATTTTTAAAATGCTGTGTAAGGGGTTCTCTTTGCTGATGTTTTGACATTGTGGAGACCTGTTTTGAATTGATTCAAAGTGAAATTTCAAAATGTTCAAACTCTTTCAAAAGTTCAGTCATATTTTTCCTGGCCAAATTTGCTTAAAAGAGTGCATCTCATTCAGTTGGCATGAATTATCAGATGTTCATTTTCTACAGAGGAGTTATGAGACAAAGATGCCTCATCCACTTGGTATGAATAGAGGCATTGCGACCACCTGGAAGTCTGCTTTAGCAACCTACCAAA